GAGTATTTGGAAAATAGCAGAGGTGATAACCTTACATGTACAGTAGCTGAGGTGATCGAAGGTTGCAAACTGAAGTAGATGAGGTGATCGATAGTTGTAGATATTGTTGAGGTATTAAAGGGGGTATGCTGCGTCGGTGGGGGTAACAAGGTAATTGAGCTCTATCAACTTAGTTGAAATTGTAAATGGGCCACCGTAAAGAGTTAAAAAGCTGACGTTTCGAGAGTTAGCCCTTTGTGAGAGCGAATCATGACGAAGCGAATGACGAATGACTTTCGCTCTGACGAAGGGCTAACGCTCGAGACGTCAGCTTTTTAACTCTTTATTGTTAAGGTATTAGCCCGTTTCAGCTTGTTGTACAGATTTTGTTAGCTCCAATAGCAACAAAACTACAATAACAACATCCTATATTTTCTAATTTCTCCTTTTGTCTAGGCTTTTGTTGGTGACTAACATATTGCGAGCTAAAAATATCAATGGTGATGCGTGTGAATGCTGTTCTAGGCCGGAGATAGAAGATTTTTATGATCCCCTTTCTACCAAACTAAGGAATAACTAACATTGGAACTTTGTGTTCCATTTCGCAATGGATGCATATTCTGAATTTGGTCAATGATTTGGACATTTAAACGTTGTGTACCATTTCGCAATGGATGTGTCTTCTGTAGCATGTGTCTTCTTAACATGTGTCTTCTTAGCATGTACTGCCAGAGACCTAATCAGCCTCATCGATCCGAGTTGAAATAAATTTCACACCCATTCTGCCTTCGAACGATGTTGTGGAATGCGTTTTTGTTTTGTCCTCTCATTTGGTGATGAGTTTAAGAGCTTATTAACACACTCAAACTTAAATATGTGAAACACAATAGATGACAGTGTCATTAAAGTAGTTTTTTTTGGCTGCAAATAGATGACATGTCTTTTATGATCGAATATGTAAAAACGTTGATGGAAATGTATTACACTGAAGAAAAAATCACAACTTATTTTTAGTTGCATTAACAAAGTACATTTGCGTTTTGTCGTCATGATGTAGTGGTAATAGGCACTCCATCAGATCTCTAAATTAAAAAAATAAGCTACAAAGATCAGCATGAGTCAGGCTATGGTTTCTGGCATATCTAGATCTATTCCAGAGTTGAACAAAAAGTGAACATTTTAGTAGATTTACCATCCCACGTGTTTCATTAATAATATTTGAATGGCGTTTAATTTGTCACCAACCAAAGGAAAACCTAAAAGGAATGAGAAAATGGGATATCGTTGTTTTTTGTTCCTGTTCGAGCTTAAATTTCAGTGACGTAACGCTGAAACGAGCCAAAACATATCTCAAAGCTATGACATAAACTACTCTACATCTTCAACTGAATGATTATCCAACTATAATTGGGGTAAGTTTCTAAAGAAATTGTGGTGCTGCGTCGGTGGAGGTAACAAATTGGGACCGTATAGAGTTAAAAAGCTGACGTTTTAATCGTTAGCCCTTCGACAGAGCGAAAGGCGAAGGGCTAACGCTCAAAACGTAAGCTTTTTTTGTCC